TTAATCTTTCCTCCTCTGCTTCTTCTACGTAAAAGAACAGGTTTCCATTTGGTAATCTAAATGAAATCTGAACATCTTTTGCAGGCATTCAGTGGAAATGTTTTATCAGTTACTCAAGAAAAGATTAAGAAGATTAAAGTACTAAACCGTAATATAAAACATACTCACATTTTTTTTGAAATTATTTTTCTCAGAACATTCTGAACTATCACGCCAAATGTCTGTGGAGTTTTCCTTTGTTTGCCAAGTCCCTTCATCCAAGCAGACTCTGTATACATTTCCTATGCTTCCTGAAAGTAAACAGAGGTTTAGTCTGAAAGGTCAAAATAAGGATTTCATGGTTCATACACATTTTAAAGATTTCACCCTTACACCACACCAACAGACACCACCCCATGCCCATTCAAAAAAGGAATAAAAATAACTTTTCTTTTGTCTTTGGCAATATATTTTTTGTATTTGCACAGGACAAAGTAGGAAAGTAATCTAGCAGAAACAAATTCCCAGAATGTACCTGGTATTTACAAAAAATACATAATTACTACATCCAAAAGAAAAGTCTACATCTCACTTTATTCTGTTTTCCTCATTAAACTCTTAAATTCTGTCAAGTATGGGTGGCACATTGCCCAGGCTGTGCAGTCAAAATTGTAGGACGAAGAGTATGATTTGATTAGGGAACCTGTGGCTGGTGTTTTATTTGCATGCTTTGGGGGCCAATCAGCAGATAGTGTGAACCAATGAAGCTTTCTTGGCTTTCACCGCATTGTCCTTGTTTATACTAATTAAGAATTTGCCTGTAATATCAGAAGTATGGGGACCTTGGCTGCTGTTTGTTTGATGTTGTCGTCAACAATTGCCTTCTATTTATTTCCAATCAGACCTGAGATTTTTCATTCATTTTTTAATTAGAAAGTGTTTAAAGGCCGCAGTAACAACCAGAATATCTCATTTCACCCAGGATCACTGGAACTGAGTGAATTGCTTTGGGAGCATAGTTTGCTGTGATGGAGCAGGAGCTCTGTGTGGAGAATAGACACTGAAAAAAAATCTGAAGGCAACTATGAAATATGGTCAGAAATCTCATTTCTAGACTACTCTAATTTTTCAGTGTTCAGACTTGGCAACGATGACAAACCACAATAAATTTACCTCAAGTTTCCAAGCATTTCTGGTCCATGTCCATCGGTGTCCCAGAACAGACACCACTATGCCTTGGAAATGGAACCAGCAATGCAAATGGGGACCACAGGTAACCCTAACTCCAGTACTGCAAAATCTCTAGGACAAACAGACAGCTGGGCTGTCTCTAATGCCTCTTCTCCTAAGGTGCTGTGGCATGGATGAGAACGCCAGATGATGCTGTAAAACGGCAGCCCTGCTGTGAACACAATTAAAAGCTTCATAACCTGGTGTATTGTCTTACATCTTGCTTTTGTAGAAATTTAGACAGAAAAAGATAAAAAAAGAGTCTCCATTACATGGAGGGAAGGAAGATGCTTTTATGTTTATTATGAAGAGCTGAATTTGTTCTAAATGTTTGGCAGAAGTGGTTGTTGGGAGACTAGATAGAAGCTGGGTCTCTTTCTGTTTAGCAGCACAAAAAAGGACAAATGATGACATTATAGAACAAACCATGTGTGGAGTGGGTTGGAGAAAGCTAGGATAAACAGTCCGTAGTAGTCTACCATAAACTAAAGGACTCAGACACAACTGGTCCTTCCAGGTGGTATTAGAAACACAGCTAGGCAAGCCACATGCAGTTACTAAAAGCTGTGTAGAGGGATCGAGAAATGCTAGGCTGCAGTGGTAGGAATGTGCTTTCATTTCTTTAGGAGAAAGGGAATGTTGCATGCTTTTATACAGTTTTGCTGCTGCAGATGTTAGTCTTTTTCCCTTCCTGAGAGCCTCCCTGCTCCAATCCCTCCAGGAGAAGTCCACTTGGAAAGCTTGATTTTTGTCACACCACTTGCTGGTGGTGTGGTATGTCCTACTGGAGGGTTGACTGCTTGGACTGCTGCTTTGTTCGGCTATTCCAGATTTCTGGGAGAGAGCTTCATGTCTGGGGTCAATGGGGACCCCTGAAGTTGAACATCAGAAGCTGAACCTCAAATCTGTTACTACCAATAAAGGCCTAGCAGTATGGTTACACGATCTTGGAAATGTTACTTCACAGCAGACAATATAGAGCTGTAACAAGCACAGATGGAGAAAGAGAGTGAATAATTAAATATTGACAACTATTTTGTGCCTCAACTCAGAAAAGAGGTGAAAAGAGGTGAGACAAGAAAGCCCTTCAAAAGACACTGGGACAAGAGAGACCAGCACCATCTGTCCTTTAGCTGGATTCCCAGCATAAACTCGAAGAGAAGTTACCACTTTCACATTACCATTTTCCAACCACGGCAAATATGAAGGACAAGGAACAGAGACATTTCCTGGGGGTGAGTAAGGCCAGCAAACAAATTGATCAAATGTCCCATTACAATGTTTTCCTGGGGAGAGAAGCAAATAGAAATTTCACAAGAAGTTGTTCAGACAATGGGCAATCATGACAACCATTGTATACTGTTCCAGGTAACCTGCAAGCTGCTCCAGAGTATTTACCAGATGCAGCAGACAAACTTCGTGTGTTCACTGTGCAATGCTCAGTGCACAGTGCAGAAATGGCTGCTATGCTTCTTCCCTGGATCTGCACAAGAGTAGTGTGTTTTACATGCTTCATTATAAGATAAGGGTATTGCTCAAAATCATCCTGAGGCGTCTGTCGTCCAAATGTAACAGATTCCAGCCGTGCTGTCACTCACTGGTTTTGGTACATGCCGCAGACTTTTTGCTGGTAAATGAAAGGTATTCCACCTTTCATGACCCCTGTGACACCGGTTCTCAGCTCAGACCACTGCCAGCTTCTTGGATAGTGACTCCTCTTAGTCTTTGGGCAATAGAGGTCTGGTAATATCTCAGACTAACTCAGTTTTAGGCTTCACAACTATCACTGACGGGACTTAATGTTAAGATAAAACGTTTGAAATGGTGCAATCAGGTTACAGTAAGATAAAATAAAATGCATTAGTGGCTACACTAGTGTCTTGATTAGTTTCTGTCTGTCTTCTAGGATAAGATTAGGTTCTCCTCTCTTAACTTTAATCGTTTTGCCCATCCAAAGCTAGAAGAGCATATCTTGCTTTGTTTTCCATTAGACTTAGCAATCGCAGAATCACAGAATTGTTGGGGTTGGAAGGGACCTTGGAGATCATCTAGTCCAATTCCTCTGCCAATGGAGGTTTATCTAGAGCAAATTGCATAGGATCTTGTCCAGGCAGATTTTGAATATTTCCAGAGAAGGAGACTCCACAACCTCTTTGGGCAGCCTGTTCCAGTGCTCTGTCATCCTCAAAGCCATACCTTGAGAAACTTGTGTGGGAAGAAGAATACAGGGAGCAAGTGAGATAGCTGTGTGCATCTTTTTGGGGTGCTTCTGCTAAAATACAAAGCACAGTATATGCATTCTTAGTAATTCCCTTGTACCTTCGAAGCTGAACATCTGTGTCCCATCTACCTTATGAACTGTGTAGTTGTTAACATTTATAGCTGCATTTTTATCATTTCTTTCCATGATATCTGACCAAGGTTTGTTTAAGTGTGAATTGGGTAGGTTGCCAGGAGAAAAATAATTTTTTCTCCATTTCATGAAAACTGGAGTTCTGAGTCCCTGCAGGTCTCCTGATCACCTGCGACAAAATACTGCCCTCTAATATCTTGCCATGTGTCACTGCTTTTGACTTTCTGGGTCATCTGGTCTGGTTCTAATTACCACCAAAAGCCACAGTTCTCTGCCTTCCCACCATAATACACTCTTCTTTTGCATTGTGCTAAGGTTTTCTGCACACCAGGTTTTCAACACAGGTCATTGATCTCTAGCTTCTCACTACTGTTTCTCTTTATTTCTTGTTACCTTTAGTTGTAAACTATTCTGTAGGTGTACTGGCTGGGCCGATCTGTGCTTTGCTTCCCTTGCTTTCCAGAAAAACTTTTGTCCCCTCTGCAATCCTCATCACTCTGTCTTCTTGCCTCTCTCAGTATAGTCACATAGTCTGTAATTTACGGCAGCTTCTTTGTCTGACCTTTCTGTGTTTCCTCCTTCCTTATTTCCCACAGCCAAAGTAAGCAGAAAAAAAGACAAGACAAGGCAAGAGAAGAAAAGGAGAAAAGCATAGCACTTCCAAAGTGTCAAAGGACAACAAAAAACAAAACTCTGGAAGTGAGATCATACTTTTCTTCGTACTTGTATCTTACTACTAGAAAGGACACACTTAGGGATGATCAGACATCCTAGAAGGTGAATTTTATTGGAGGTAAGAGTAACTCAGCTTTGTTATTCTACTGACCATACATGCTTTCATGACCCCTCTGTCACTAATACATCTTTCTTTCTGAGAAAGTCTGCTTGACATTTCTACTGTGTATCTTCATTAGTACTTTTCTGACTTCTGGTCATTCACCTTTGAAACCTTGAAGTCAGATAAAGATTTACACAACATAGAAGGAAAACATAATTAGATTCTCTGTATCTAGAAACAAGTATTATTTTATCATCACATAAAAATCTAGCATGATGAAGTGGACAATGAAGAACTAGATAACTCAGTGCTTCAGCTGAGTGACACCCTGACACTTCCTGCACATGCTCTTGCTACGGTTCCTCTCCTATATGATAACATCCTGCATGATAACCAGAACAGTTAGTTACTTTCTTCCAAGAACCTGTCTACCTGTTTTTGGGGGGACCTGAGACAGGCCAGATGCATCAGAGTCCTGGCAGACATTTCATTATGTGCTCACATGGACACTGTGTTGTGCCTGAAGCATAACAGTTTTGACAGAGGTAACTGCCTGGTTTTCCTGCCTTGAACTGCTTAGGACTCAGAAATGATGTGCCATCCATGCAAGTCCCTGAACTATGGCGATTCTCAGATTCTAAGTTCTCAGCATGGAAATGCATACTGGCAGAACTGGCTTTAAACATTGTTGATGGTTCTCCCCTTTTGCATAGTAATGGCTAGAAAAATACTCCAGAACATTATTCATATAATCTCTATTTATAATTATAATGGGGGTCTACTACAGGCGACTGGACCAGGAAGACTGAACAGATGAGGCCCTCTATAGAGACATAGGAGCAGCCTCCCATTCACAAGCCCTAGTTCTCATGGGGTCTTCAGCCACCCTGATATCTGTTGGAGGAACAACACAGCAGGGCATATGCAATCCAGGAGGTTCCTGGAATGCATTGATTATAATTTCCTTCTCCAAGTGATAGAGGAGCCAATGAGGAGAGGTGCTATGCTGGACCATGTTCTCACCAACAAGGAGGGGCTGGTGGGGAACATGAAATGCAAGGGCAGCCTTGGCTGCAGTGACCATGTAATGGTGCAGTTCACGATCCTTAGGGGAGTGAGGAGGGCGCACAGCAAGCTCACTACTTTGGACTTCAGGAGAGCAGACTTTGGCCTCTTCAGGGAGCTTCTTGGTAGCGTACCATGGGATAAAGCCGTGGAGGGAAGAGGGGCCCAAGAAAGCAGGTTAATACTCAAGGATCACCTCCTCCAAACTCAGGAGCGATACATCCCAACCAAGAGGATGTCACGCAAAAACGCCAGGAGGTCTGCATGGATG